GATCCTCCCCGCTCAGTCTCCCAAAGTGCTAGGATTACAGGTGTGAGCCACTGTGCCTGGCTTACATATTATTAGCCAACGCGAGACTCATGGTTCCACTCAACGTTAAATATTCTACCTAACTTCAAGGAAGCAGGGAAGTACAATCCTCCAAAGTGCTCCAGAGGGGGAGAGAACTGGAAATATTAGTGGTGGTAATGTCTACCTAAGGGTCTCATGCTATGCTTTCTATACTCTAGCCACGCTGGCCTTTTTTGTGCTTTTAGATGAACATGTTCCTTCCTGCCACAGGACACTTGCCTAGGCTGTTCTGTTTGATTACAAACAACACTTTTTGCTCCACTCTTTGCCTGGTTAAAGACTATTCTTCCTTCAGACTGAAGCTAGTTGTCCCTTTCTTAGGGAAACCTTTGCTTTCCCCTCTAAGTCAAATCCCTTCATTATTATTTGCTTTTACAACATAAGGTGCCCCCACTTTGTGGCACTTAGCTGTAATTTGCAGATAATCATGTGATGACTTAATTAATGACTGTTTCTTGCTCTGCAGCATAAGCTGCAGGCATTGTGTTGTTTTGTTCACCCCCATATCTTTGTCACCTATCCCAGTGCCTGGAACTGTTGCTGAGCGAATGAAAAAGTGAACATTCTCAAAAGTCAGGGAACTTTTGTTTTGTTTTGTTTTTTGAGACAAAATCTCCTTCTGTTGCCCAGGCTAGAGGGCAGTGACAGGATCATAGCTCACTGTAGCCTCGAACTTCTGGGCTCAAGAGATCCTCCTGCCTTAGTCTCCTGAGTAGCTAAGACTACAGATCTGTGCCAGCATGCCCAGCTATTTTTTTTTTAATTTTTGTTTTGTTTTTAGAGATAGCATCTTGCTATGTTGCCCAGGCTGGTCTCAAACTCTTGGCCACAAGCGATCCTCTAGCATAGGCCATCCAAAGTGCTGGGATTAGAGGAATATTCCACTGTACCTAGCCACAGGAAATGTGTTTTACCCTTCAAAGAATATGTATATTATTTATTTATTTATTTACTTATTTATTTTTGAGACAGAGTCTCACTTTGTTGCCCAGGCTAGAGTGAGTGCTGTGGCGTCAGCCTAGCTCACAGCAACCTCAAACTCCTGGGCTCAAGCGAGTAACTGGGACTACAGGCATGCACCACCATGCCCGGCTAATTTTTTCTACATATATATTAGTTGGCCAATTAATTTCTTTCTATTTATAGTAGAGATGGGTCTCACTCTTGCTCAGGCTGGTATTGAACTTCTGACCTAGAGCTATCTGCCTGTCTCGGCCTCTCAGAGTGCTAGGATTACAGGCATGAGCCACCGCGCCTGGCCTGTATATTATTGAAATTTGAGAATACTAACTTGTATGAATTTTTCTTCGTAGTTATGACGGAAACAATTAACATATAGTTGCTGATTTCATTCTGAAAGTTTAGCCTGTAAGGAACATCCCTGAACCCTAAGTGTGTGTAAGTCATGATTGTGTAAGAGAAAACAAAATTTATCTGCCTCTTGATCAATCTAAGGAACTGAAGACTAGGGAAGTCATTTCACATTTCACTCAGGTCCCCACCCTTTCAGATTGAGCAATCCACGTTTTTGTTTTTGAGGACTATCCTGTACCTGCAAGCTTCCCCAATCATTTGCATAGGTATTTCAAGACTGCTCTAGACCTGTGAGCTCTGTTAGATTTAACTATCACAACAGATGCAAAAAGCCAAATTGCCTTATCTACCTACATTTTAAAGATTTTTTTTTTCTTATGCATGTCAGCACCTATTTAAAGACTTGATTAAGGAGGAGCAGCAGTTAAAGTCAGTCAACTCTTTGGTTTACTGTTTTTTTAAAGGAAAAAGTCTGTGATGGAGGACATTTTTTAACTAAAGTAATTCCCTTTGAAGTTAGGGCTTTGTTTTGCCAATATAAGGCATTGTGAGCTGCCAAGGAGATGGACATAAGCTCTCTGCTGACAATTTAGTTATGAGTGATTCAGGTGAAACTGCAGACTGGCCACTGGCATTAGAGTTTGAACATTTCTATCTCTGACTTTTGGTAGGCCAGAAATTTTTGATTCAAGCTGTTCAAGATAGCAGGTTATGTAAAATGCTAATTTAATTACATTATCTTCCTTAAATATAAAAACAGGTTAAATTGTAGTCTAGCGTGGCCTGTCCACAACAACAAACAGGGCAGTGCCTTTGTTGATAAATAGCTGACATTCCACAAGGCAGAGTCACACCGAAACCCCTTGGGAACCAGGGCTACAATCTTTGATCTAGCTAACTCCACATACCAAACCTAATTGGTTTTAAAAGTGTCTGATTTATTATTTTTTCAACATTCAACTTGTATTTCTTTCTTTTTTTTTTTCTTTTTTTATTTAGTAGAGACAGGATTTAGCTCTTGCTCAGGCTGGTCTCAAACTCCTAGGCTCAAGCAGTCCTCCCGCCTTGGCTTCCCAGAATGCTAGGATTAAATTTGTATTTCATTAGTGAATGATACTATTTTAGAGTCACAGGTTATTAAGATTGAAGACTTATGCTCAGCACCAGAAGCGCAAAAAAAAAAACAAAAAAAAAAAAGATTGAAGACTAATTGTACTTAAGATATAGTGTAGGCCAGGTGTGGTGGCTCAGGCCTGTAATCCTAAGCCCTCTGGGAGGCCAAGTGGGAGGATCACTTGAGGTCAGGAGTTTGAGATCAGCCTGAGCAAGAGTGAGACCCCATCTCTACTAAAACTAGAAAAAATTAGCTGGGCATGGTGGTGCACTCCTGTAGACTCAGCTACTCAGGAGGCTGAGGCAGGAAAGTAGCTTGAGCCCAGGAATTTAAGATTGCTGTGAGCTAGACTAAAGCCATAACACCTGCCTGCGCAACAGAGTGACTAAAAAAAAAACCAAAACCAAAACAAAAAATCCCCACAAACAAAGAGTGAAAGGCCTTCCCAATTTGCATGGCTGGTACCTAAGTCTATTTCCTGTCCTTCAAGTGCCCTCACTGCCACACTAGATCCCTCTTCTCTTGGCTCCACCTCTTCCTCTCTTGTTTTTTGCCTCTCCTTCCTCAATGACAGTCATATCTCTCACTAAATTACAGTCCTTGTGTGTGTGTGTAATAGTGGGCATGATAAAACTTTGGAATAGCACCGAGGTGGTGGTGTGTGCCTGCAGTCCCAGCTATTTGGGAGCTTGAGGCAAGAGGATCACTTGAGCCCAGGAATTGGGAACCAACTTGGGCAACATAAAAAAAAATTTTTTTTCAAATAGCATAGAAGAGAATAACCATAAAAGTTAGTTCTCCTTTCCAGCCTTTTCCCAGCCTCTAGTTCTCCTTCTTCCAGGCAACCACTGTTAGTTTCTTGTGTCTTTCTGGTGATTATCTATGTATATTTAAGTGGTAGCATACTTTACTATTCTGTCTCTTGCTTATTTCATTAAACAATATTTTGGAGATTGTTCTAAACCAGTTTTTATAGAAATGCCTCATTCTTTTTAAAGTTGTATAATATCACATAATTCAACCAAAATCTCTCTCTACTCTCTCTTGTATATATATAAAAATATATATTATATATTTGTGTATATGGTATATGTTTTATTAAATTTTCCTCCAATATCTTATATATCTCTTAGTTTGCATTGTAGGAGAATACAGTGCCTGGTTTTCTTGTCCTAATGCCTGACATTCTCCTTTTTTTTCAGAATGCCCTATTTACTACAGCCTGCAGTCCTGCAAGCTATGCATTGGTGTTTCTGAACTCTGGACACTTACCTAAAAATCATTGATAAAAATGTATGTAGACCAGACTGGGCACTGTGGCTCATGCCTATGATCCTAGCACTCTAGAAGGCCGAGGCAGAAGGATCGCTTGAGCTCAGGAGTTTGAGGCAAGCCTGAGCAAGAGTGTGACCCCATCTCTACTAAAAACAGAAAAATTAGCTGGGTGTCATGGCACATGCCTATCATCCAGCTACTGGGGAGGCTGAGGCAGGAGGATCCCTGGAGCCCAGGAGTTTGAGGTTGCCATGAGCTATGATGATGCCACTGCACTTTACCCTGGACAACAGAGTGACACTCTGTCTCAACTACAACAAAAAAATGTAGATCAGAGAAATTGGTTCTTTAAAAGAAAGCCTTGCTAGATAGGGTGTCATGTGCCTACAGTTCCAGCTACTTGGGATGCTGAAGCAGGAGGACTGCTTGAGCCCAGGAGTTTGAATCCAGCATGGGCAACATAGAGAGATGTCATATCTTAAAATAACAAAGAAAGAAAGCCTTCAATTAAACCAACTCATGTTTAGACTGGGTATTGTGGCTCATGCCTGAATCCTAGTACTCTGGGAGGCTGAGGAGGGAGCATTGCTTGAGACCAGGAGTTCAAGACTAACCTAGGCAATAAAGCAAGACTCCCCCATCTCTACTAAAAAAGTCCTCAAAATTAAGAAAAAAAGTGTCCTCAGGATTGTGCTTGGACCTGGTGGTGATATATAGAGGAACAAATGCATATTCCAGCCTACAAGTTGCTTGCAGCTCACCGGGAAACAAGCAGAAAAACCAGTGATTTCTCAACAGTGAAGTGAGAATCTCATAGTAGAGCACTGGTCCCTAAAGGAGCATGGGGAAGCCAGTAGTCACAGGAAGTGAAATTGAAGCTGAGACCTGGGAGAAAGCTTGGCGAAGATAATAAGGCAGGTGTGGCTTGGATTGTGTTTGTGAGGACATGGGGGATAGGGAATATTTAAAAAGCTGAACTTTAATCCTCCCAGGCATTCAGCTCCAAAGTCAATGTTCCTGAGGGAGGGAGGCAGAAAAGATATCCCTAGACGGGATAAACCTTTCCTCCAGTGCCTACAAAAATGTTCCTTGATTCTTTTCACAAATCTGTCAAGGTTCTATCCTTATTAGTAGTCCAGGATTAGCTTCTCAGTATTCCTAGAGAATTTCCCACTTCTTTGGGAATGTTGGCATAACCAAGGCTTGGGAACCCAAGATGCATGGTGAGGCCGTTTCAGTGGGTCATGAGGGGCAACTGGCAGGCACTTCAGCATAGCAAAATTATTAATAGGAGTCTGAAAAATCTGGTTACCAGCTGTCTCTGTGACCATGAGCAAGCCCCTTAAACTCTCTGGGCCTCAGTTTCTTCAGCTATAAAATTAATTCAAAAATATTTTTATCCCGTTGTACCTTAGTTTATTAAGAAACCAAAAAAAAAAATATTTTTAAGTATCTGCTATTTGTCAGACATTAATTTTAGTCCTGGGGAGCCAGGAGATAAAAGATACAGATATGAGGAGGCTGGATAATTTTATCCCAAATAGCCTCTGTAAGGGTATGCCAGCATTCTGTATTTATAAGTGATATTACTGGTAATCAGGAATTTGTGAATTTTCTTTCCTGGATAAAATGCAGAAATCCGAAAAAGGTTTTAGCCCCATCTTCTCCTTCTGATATCACTGCCCCCTTGTCTGCTCCCCAATTTTTCTTTTCTATTCCAGAGTTTGTCTTTCTTCAAGTGGCTGCTATTTACCCTCCCCCCTTCCCCTGTGCCCTCTGTCTGCCTTTCCTTTTCCGTCCTCTTCCTCCCAAGATTGGTTCCCCCTGGTGTGTGTGGCTGGGCCTATTTGTGCAAAGGCAATTGGAGAAGTGTGGGTGGGAGGGTGGGGGGAGAGAGGCAGCATGCCAACAGTATGGGCAGAACAGGAAGTCTGAGGCTTTGTTGCCTTTCTCTGATATGTGAGGCCAGCATCCAGGCCTCCTCTTTCAGAATTTGGGGATGATAACTAACTTATCCTACAGGCCTGTGCAAGTCTTTTACCTTTAAGGGCTTTGGTTGCTCTCTGTGTAAAATGAGTGGTCTGTAAGATGTGATTTCTAAGCCTCCAAGCTCTAAACTCTAAAATTCTAAGAAAATAAGCACTCAAATACCCTATTGGGGGGAGTGTAAAGGGTACAAACCATATCAGAGATGATTTGGCAATATCCTTTCAAATTACAAATACTTACACTGTTTGACCCAGTAGTTCTACTTCTAGGAATTTATTCTGTAGTTGTACTTGAATATGCACAAAATAACATAAATTCACGGTTTTTTAAATGCAGCATTGTTTACATATCAAAAGATTAGAAACAGGGCCCGGCATGGTGGCTCATCACGTCTGTAATCCTAGCACTCTGGGAGGCTAAGGCGTAAGGATCACTTGAGCTCAGGAGTGTGAGGTTGCTGTGAGCTAGGCTGACGCCAGGGCACTCTAGCCCAGACAACAGAGCAAGACTCTGTCTCTAAATAAATAAATAAATAAAGGAAAGATTGGAAACAGTTTAAATATCCATCAATAAGGGACCAGATAAATAAATTATAATATCTTTAAAATGGAGCACTATGCAGTCATAAAACAGAATACAGACATGAAGAAATACTACATAGCAACGAGTACAAAGTACTGTTACATGCAGTAGTATGTGAATATCACAAACAACGCAGAGAAATTGTAGAACAAAAGAAGCCAGACACAAAAGGAGCACACACTGTATGAATCCACTTAAAGTTCAGAAACAGGAAAAAGGCATCTTTGGTGTTAGAAGCTGGAATAGTGGTTAGCCTTGGAGGCAGGGCAGTGACTGGAAGGGATTGTAAGTGTTTCTGTGATGTTTGTCATGTTCTCTATCGATCTGGGAATTGGTTATATGAGTGTATTCAGTTTGTGAAAATTTATGATGTGTGCAGTTTTTTCTATGTATTCTATGCACCAGTCAAAGTTTTAAAAGAATATAGGAACTCTGTATTCTTTTATGAAACAAGCTGAGATATATGTGAAAAAAGTAGATATGAATCAAACATTTCCATTTGTGTAAAAAAGTGGAGAAACATCTGTATTTGCTTGTATATGCATATGATATTTCTGGAAGAATGGTCAAGAAACTGACAACACTGGTTGTCTGTGAGCTGTATAGCTGATGGAGAGACTCTTACTTCATATTTGGTTACACATTTTGGATTTAAAGCTATGTGGATATATTGGTTATACAATGAAAAGAAAGCACTAAAATTCTAAAAATTAAAATTAAAAAAAATCTGTGAGTCTAGAACATATTTGGAAATATTCGGAAAGAAGAAAAATAGGGGAAATAATACCAAGAGATCATATATTGAATGTATATCTCAGAACTCAGTGGTGGGGAAGTGGAGGTCATGGAGAATGTTTGAATGTTTTAAAACTGAACGTTTACAACCGTCCCTTTATGTTAATAACTTTAGCCATGGTTTAAAAAACAGTCACAAATTGATTTTTACCTTTAAAATTCTATCTATTATATTAAAAAGAATCAAATATACATATACTGGTAATAATAAGACAATTCAAAGACATATAAAGAAAAAGATAACTCTCCCTCCCATTCAGCTCCTCCTCTTTTTAGCCCTCTGAGGTGTCCAGTATGATAAGCCTAGGGTAAATTCTTCCACTCCTTTCTCTATGATCTCATGAACATATATTAACACATATACTAACAGGATCATACCACCCTTCCATTACTCTGCAATTAACTGCTAATGTTATCCACTTTAGCAATATATAGTGGACATCCTCTAGGTCAATACTAATAGATCTAATTTATTATCATCATTGCATAATATTCCACAGTATGAATACCGTACAATTGAATCATGGATTCCATTATCTATTGACAATCAGGTTGTTTCCAGTTTGTGTTTGTTTTGCACTACAAACAATACCACAATAAGCATCTATATCAGTTTCCTGTGGCTGCCTTAACAAATTATTACAAACTTTGTGGCTGAAAACAGCAGAAATTTTGTCTCTCACAGTTCTCGATCCATATGTCTGAAATCAAGGTATCCAGTGTTGGTTTCTTTTTTTTTTTTTTTTTGAGACAGAGTCTCACTTTGTTGCCCAGGCTAGAGTGAGTGCTGTGGCGTCAGCCTGGCTCACAGCAACCTCAATCTCCGGGGCTCAGCGATCCTACTGCCTCAGCCTCCCGAGTAGCTGGGACTACAGGCATGCACCACCATGCCCGGCTAATTTTTTGTATATATATTTTTAGTTGGTCAATTAATTTCTTTCTATTTTTGGTAGAGACGGGATCTCGCTCAGGCTGGTTTCGAACTCCTGACCTTGAGCAATCCGCCTGCCTCAGCCTCCCAGAGTGCTAGGATTACAGGCGTGAGCCACCACGCCCAGCCCCAGTGTTGGTTTCTTTAAAGGCTCTAGGGGAATCTGTTCCACGCCCTTCTCTCAGCTTCTGGTGATTGGCAGCAATCTTTGGTGTTCTTTGGCTCTAGATGTATCACTCCAACCCCTGCCCTCTTCCTATCACCATCCTCTGCGTCTCTGTGTGTCAAATCTCCCTTTGCTTTTTCTTATAAGGACACCTGTTATTGGTGTCCTTGTTGTTTGAGCCCATCTTAAATCCAGGATGATCTCATTTCAAGATCCTTAATTACATCTGCAAAGGTCCTTTTCCTTTTTCTTTTTTCTTGTTTTGAGACAGAGTCTCACTCTGTTCCCCTGGCTAGAGTGCCATGGCATCAGCCTAGCTCACAGCAACCTCAAATTCCTAGGTTCAAGCAATCCTTCTGCCTCAGCCTCCCAAGTAGCTGGGACTACAGGCATGTGCCACCATGCCCGACTAATTTTTTCTATATATATTTTTAGTTGTCCAGCTAATTTCTTTCTATTTTTTAGTAGAGACGGGGGTCTCACTCTTGCTCGGGCTGGTCTTGAACTCCTGAGCTCAAAGGATCCACCCGCCTCGGCCTCCCAGAGTGCTAGGATTACAGGTGTGAGCCACTGTGCCTGGCCTGGAAAGATTCTTTTTCTAAATAATGTCACATTCACAGGCTCCAGATGGACATATCTTTTGGGGGGGTCTGCACTCATACTCCACCATCCTTTTGTATAGCCTTGTAACTGGTATTTTCTTTAGTTTTTCTACAGGGCAGAGTTAGTGGATTTTCTGGTATGTTTATATTTGTTAAATTTTGACAGATATTTCTGTTACTCCTAGAATGTTCGCGGCAATTGACACTCTCATTGGAGATGTACAAAGGTTTCCCCCCCCTTCCCCATGTATCATTGACTACTCTAGTTAATGTTTGCCAATCTGATAAGTGAAAAATGGATTATTGTTTTAATTTGCTTTTCCATGACTATTAGTGAAATTAGCCATCTTTTAAATCTATCATTTGGATTTTTTTCTTCCATTAATCGCCTGTTTGTATGTTTCACCCATAGTTTTAAAACATTGAGCTATTTGATTTTTTAAAAAATCCCTTTACAGAAACTCTTTTGTGTTAGAGATTCAATGTATTTGCCATATTTTTCTGAGTTTTATTCCATCCACTGTTTTTTTTTCAAAATTTGTCATTGTGATGTCATGCAAAAACTTCAAAATATTTATGTAGACAAATGTTTTTATTTTTCTTTAATGATTCTTTTATTTTTCTTTAATGTTTTTATTTTTCTTTAAAGCTTCCTGTCTAGCTTAAAGTTTCTGCCTGACTAAAGTCATATTGCTAACCTTTAAGAAATTTCCTTTACGTGTTTTTTTTTTTGAGACAGAGTCTCACTTTGTTACCCTGGCTAGAGTGCCATGGCGTCAGCCTAGCTCACAGCAACCTCAAACCCCTGGGCTCAAGTGATCCTCCTGCCTCAGTCTCCCTAGTAGCTGGGACTACAGGCATGGACTACCATGCCCAGCTAATTTTTTCTATAAAATTTTAGTTGGCCAATTAATTTCTTTCTATTTTTAGTAGAGATGGGTCTTGCTCTTGCTCAGGCTGGTTTCGAACTCCTGACCTTGAGCGATCCTCCTTGGGCTCCCAGAGTGCTAGGATTATAGGCCTGAGCCCACCTCACCTGGCCTCCTTTAAGTTTTTGTTTTGTAAATTTTTATGTCTTTAGTTCTTCTGAATTTTATTTTTAAATGTGGTGTGGTTCTTGCTTTATTATAAATGAAGAGTCAATTAAAACTACAATCATTTATCAAATAAACTATTCTTTTATCACTGAATTGATTTTCCACCTTTCCATATTGGATTCTATTTCTAGATTCTATTCCAGACTACTCAACCATTTGCCTAAGCTATTGTAGTAATATTAACTTACAATATAATGGCTTTACAATGAGTTAAAATTTTGGTTTTCAGTAAGTACAATCCAAGTGTCCCACTAAGAAGAGCACTATGAAATTTCCTGGTTGAGGTCAAAGACAACAGGATGTCTTCTGTAGGTAGGCAAAAAGGTTTGGGTAAGGTGTAAGGCTCGGCAGGCAAATGTTAACTGTTATCTTAAAAATGAACACAGAGAAAAAGAATATTGGGCTTGAAAGGCTGGACTTTTCTCTTTAAATGGCCATTCGTAGGGTAGGAACTGAGGGCAGCCGACCTAGTGCCCGGTCCCCAGAACGGGTGTGACAGACGGGGAGGGGCGGGGGAGAGGGTTAAGCAAAGTGCTGCGCCCAAGAACCGAGGAGTCAGTTCCATGTCGCAGCACGGAACTGGGAAGAAGGACTGGGAAGGGAAGGCCGGCAAGAAACCGGCCTCGTGAGGAGGCTACGAAGGCCGGGGCAGGTAATGGCTCTCTCCTGAAGGCGACTTGCTGGGGATTCCCTAGTCTTCTGGGAGCCGCAAGGAGGCAGGAACAGCAGCGCAGCAGTGCCAGAGCCGGGTGGCAGCCGGAGAGGACTAGGCGGCGGTGCGGCCTCCCTCACTGCCCTGTCAGTCCGGCCGCCCCGGCCGCGGGGATCCGGATTGGCCCGAGCGCCGCGCAGGGCGGGCCGGGGGCTGCTGGGAGGCCGGCCTGGGACGCGCGGGCGCGCGCACGCGCGGGCGCGGGGAAGGCGGCTGAGCGCGCGTGCTCCGTCTGTCGGTGCGGCGGAGCGGGCCATGGCAGTGGGCGGCGGGCGGGTGTAGCGCTGCGCGGGGTAGGCGAGAGGTGACTGAGAGTGGCGAGGATGGGAGCGCTGGAGCCGGGCGGTTGTGGCGGCCTGGGCTGCTGACCGCGCACCCGGAGCGGTAGCCGGCGGTGGCGGCGGAGCGCCGGGCAGGTGAGTGCGGCGGCAGGGGACCCGGATGCGGCGCGGCTGAGGGGTGGCGGGATCGCCGCGGCGGGCTGAGGTGCCCCCACGCGGGCTGGCGGTGCGCTCTTGCCGGCAACTGCCTGCGGCGCTGGCTACTCGAGCGGCCGCGTCGCGCTTCCTGCCGGCTTGGAGGACACCCGCCCGCCGACCGGCGGGGGCGCCTCCCTAGGCTGCGGCCCGCCTGGGGCTCTCCTAGGTGAGTGGCGCCCCCCCACCTCCGCAAGGCGGAGATGCGGCCGGGCGTCCCGGGCCGCGAGTGCTTTCGGTCGGGCTCCCGAGGGGCGCCTCTGTGGAGAGAAGGCGTCTTCGCACCCCGCGTCTATGCGGACACCTCCGGAGCTTCCAGGACCTCAGGTGCCTTTTTGCGCAGAATTGTATTTCAGGGGCGAGGATCCGGGGCTGTTGGGTTGTGGACGTAGTTTCGAATCGCAACGCCGTCACTGACTAGTTATTGGGCCAAAGTACTCTGATTTGTTAAATGGGAATAATAATACGTAAATCGTGCGGTTGTTGTGAGGGTAGGCATAACCCAACAGCGAGTGCTCGGGTAAATGGTAGCTATTAGGAGCAGTCCTGGTCTAGCAGCATCTCTTGTTAGCTATTTCTAATTCCTAGTTGGCGGGCGGGTGTGCGTTTGGGGGCACATTATTTCCGAAATGCTCTGGTGTTGCAGTAACCTCTACCGGAGTTGCTTAATATTGGAGCATGTTGTCTTCAAGCGGCCAAAATAGAATTCTGTGGTCTCTTTCTGGAATCTTGTAGTCTCTTTCTAGCAAGGGCTGACTTGGAAACCTGTCTCAGGTACCGAGTGGGAATTACTGCTGTAATGAAACCGAGCAAATTAGGTATTCACTTAGGGTGGAAGATGGTGGGACACATAAACTTGAAGTGCTTTGCTGTTTAATCTTAAGTGACACTTGAACTCCGTCACTTGTTACAGAGTATAAACACACGAAGAGTATGGAAACAGACTCCTTTTTCTGCATTGCTACATCCGGAGGGTGTGACAAGTGCTTTTATAAACATTGTGGGCAGTGTTAGTGTCTGGTGAAGTCATCATAATTAAATTAGATGAGTGCTTATTTTGAAGCATTGAATGGATGTTTGGAAATATGATTCCTAATCAAATCATCTCCAACGAGTCAGAGTTGTCAGCAGTTCATTAATCATGTGGGGATTTTTATGCTACATTGTAAGGTTTTACCGTAGAAGCAGAACTGTTCTAAGTCCTAATAATGTAGCATAGGAAAGAGTGGTGAGGATAACAATCTCAACCTAGTTTCAGAATGCAAGTATGGAAGAAAGTTAATATCTTAAGGTTTAAAACTAGAATTGTATTCATCAAAGCCAAAGTGATTGAAGAAACAAACATTTTAGTTTAATACCATTTTCACACTCTGACTACCTTCAGGGTGTTTTTCAGAAGTGGAGATCAAGTTGGGTTTTGATGTACTGCTGTTCTGCACCTCTTGTCTATCTTTCCTGCTTTTCTTAGAGACTCATTCGTGAAGGCTTTTGCTCCAACTTGCTTTGTGAGTGTCAACAAACTACATGGGGAAAAAAATGAACCTTGTAGTCATTATGTTCTTCCTTGAGGTCTTCCTTGTTGTTTAGCTTAGACTGTTGAACTCAGCAGTAGAACCTTTGCTAGCCACTGTGAAAAGGCTAGGAGTCATAAGTCATATGTTGGTTGTAGGCCTCCACCTGGGTCAAAATAGCTGAGGCTATAGAGGTATTACCCAGTCTTTCCTGGCCTCAGTTTTTTTTTTTTTTTTTTTTAAATAGAATTTGGGTGCTTGTGTGTTAGGCTTGGAGTGGTGGAGTGGTGTTAGTGGTGGACTAGAGAATCACATTATATAGAAGGAATCTTCTAGGATATTAGTTTTATGGCTTTCCTCCTCTTCATTCTCTCTCTGTGTTTTTTGTTGACTCTTCCTTCTGTTCTTGAATTAAAAATATTTTAATGGTCCAGGACTTCCAGCTTGTCCTTCCTTTGTATACCTATACTCATTCTGAGTGACCTCAATTTGTTCTGTGTTTTAAATATATAGATATGCTGTTGACTCTCAGATTTTTACTCTAGTCCTGAACTTCAAATTTCTACCTGCCTATGTGACATCTTCACTTCATTTGTTTATAGACATCATGTTCAGATGGAGCTCTTGATTTACATTCCTCAACCTGTTACTTCTCTCGCAGTCTTCATTTCATAAGAGCACCACTCAAGCATCCTGCTTGAGTGAAAAATCTAATGGTCATGCTTAATTCATTCCTTTGCCTCACTCCGCCCCTATTGTACACCCAGCTAGTCCTTTAGCAAACCCTGTCAGTTTTACCTCTAAAATATATTTCAAATACATTTATTTCACTTCATTTTTTTATATTAAAAAACTTTATTGAGGTAAATTGACATGACATCACATATTTTAAGTATACAATTTTATAAGTTTTGAAAAATGTATACTATCATGAAACCATCATCATCACAATCAAGGTAATGAACAAATCTCACCTCATTTTTTTTTTTTTTTTTTTTTTGGAGACAGAGTCTCACTCTCTTGCCCAGGCTACAGTGCCATGGCATCAGCCTAGCTCACAGCAACCTCAAACTCCTGGGCTCAAGTGATCCTCCTGCCTCAGCCTCCCAAGTAGCTGGAACTACAGGCAAGTGCCACCACACCTGGCTAATTTTTCTATTTTTTGTAGAGACAGGGTCTCGCTCTTGCTCAGGCTGGTTTCAAACTCCTGAGCTCAAGCAATCCTCCCACCTTGGCCTCCCAGAGTGCTAGGATTATAGGCGTGAGTCGCCATGTCCAGCCTCATTTCATTTTTATTACCACTACCTTAGTTCTTTCTGGATAGTAGCTTCCTCACTGGTGTCCTTATCTCTGGTCTTATTCCATTTTTCACAAAGCAGAGTGATTTTTACTCATCCTTCTGTTCCAGTGGCTTTTCGCTAGATTAAGAAGTAAATCCAAACTTTACCTGCAGATCAGCTAATTATCTTGCTTTTATTTTTTTAATTTAAAAAATGTGTTTTAGAAACAGCATTTTGCAACTTGCCCAAGCTGGAGTACAGTGGCTGTTCACAGGCACAATCATAGCTTGCTACCGCCTTGAACTCCTGGCCTCAAGTAATCTTCCCACCGAAGCTTTAACCTTAGTAGCTGGGATTATAGATGCATGCCTTCATGCTCGGTTAATTTAAAAACAAAATTTTTTTTTTTTTTTTTGAGACAGGGTCTCATGTTGCTCAGGCTGGTCTCGAACTCCTGGCTTCAATCAATCCTCCTGCCTCTGCCTACCAAAGTGCTGGAATTACAGGTGTGAGCGACAGTTTATTTTTTGAATCTGAGATGCTCCCATTGTGCATGCATGTGTGAGAGAATGTGTGTGTTGTGAGAGTTTATGTGTGTGTATGTATCCTCTGAATCTTTTGATTTGGAATTACCATATCTAATATCTTAGATAAATCTCCATCATTTGGTTTCTATTAACTGCTTATTTGAGAGCTTTGCCATGTTGTATTAATGAGACAAATAATTCGGGATTTTTACCCCTTCCTGCCTGAGACCAAGACCAAGTCTGTAGCCCTGAAAACTATCCAGGAGGTCTATGAACAAGGAAGAATATGGAAAAATAAAAAATGTACAATTACATTGTCAAAGTAGAAAATATAGAAAAAAATACATTGGAGGAGGAAATCCTAGACTAGAAGAATAATATTGACTGAACATTCAGGAGAAGAGAAGACAAATAAGGGAGAATATCAGATTTTCAAGCTTGGATGAGACAACTTCTCATTTCCTTTTTCTTTCCTCCCTTCTCTTACATTTTGCTCCCACCCCCAAATTTTGACTCTTGGATTTTTTCCTTCTGCTCTCTCTTTATTGCCTGGTTTATGTGGGCTGTTTTTCTAAGTAGTGCCTATGAGCCTGTGGTAGTCCAATGTCTGCCAGAATATCTCATGTGAGAAGAAATTTGCCAATTCACTATAGCAAGGACGTGGAAACAACCCAAGTGTCCATCAATTCATGAGTGGATTATTAAAATTTGGCATATGTTTACAATGGAATATTACTCAATTCTGAGAAACGACAGCGAGCTAGCACCGCTTATATTATCCTTGGTTGAGTTTAACCCCATTATCCAAAGTGAGGTGCCACAAGATCAGAATAATGGGCTCCATATATATTCACCATCAAATTGGTACTGATTGATTAACACTGTGGTGCTCAGGGTGGTGGTGTTCAGCAGGGTTTCGGGGGTTGGAGGGGTAGTCCCACATCTGTGGGATGGGGTGAACATTGTGGTGGGGAAGTGCATACCTCTAACCCTTCCTGGGGAGAGGCAAAGATATAAAATGTAACCAAAATGTTAAGGAAAAAAAAGAAAAACAAACATTTGTCCGGTGTGGGGCAGGGGGGAGGTGGGAGGAAGGGATGGGTATATACATACATAGTGTGATGCGCACTGTCTGGAAGATGGACACGTTTGAAGCTCTGCCTCGAGGGGGAAGGGGTTACATACAAGGGCAATGTATGTAACCTTAACAATTGTACCCCTATAATATTCTGAAATTAAAAAGAAAAAAAAGAAGAAGAAATTTGCCTTTCCCGAAGTAACCTTTCTGCTCTCATAATCAAGCTGTGTCTTCTTGGATCTTCTAGCCATTGGGTCCAGCTTTACCCTTTAGAATATCTGTAAACTGGTATACTTCCTTTTTAATTTGTTCTCAAATTAAGTTGTCATCTCCAGGTTAAACAATTCTGAGTCATAAACTTCTAGTTGAAAGAAGGAAAATAAAATGGATTAGATCTATGTTTGGGGTGTGTACAGTATTTTTGTTAACATTTGCTCTAATAATTTAGATTGCCTTTCTCTAATTCAGACCTTTCTTTCTCTCTCTCTCTTTTTTTTAATGAGACAGAGTCTTGCTCTTCTGCCCCAGGTAGAATGCAGTGGGGTCATCTTAGCTCACTGCAACCTCAAACTCCAGGGGTCAAACTGTCCTTTTGCTTTGGCCTCCTAAGTAGCTGGAACTACTGGCATACACCATGACACCATTCTAGTTTTTTCTGTTTTTAGTAGAGACGGGATCTCATTCTTGCTCAGGCTGGTCTCAAACTCCTGAGCTCAAGCAATCCTGCCTTGGCCTCCCAGAGTGCTAGGATTACAGGCATGAGTCTCCTTGCCTGACCTATTTTTTTTTTAAGAGAAAATTTCTCATGGACAGAATATGTCAGAACTGGAGTGAATAAATAATTGATCAACCTAATTGTTGGCTTCCTTTTAGAAATATAAATGAGAGAGTGCCAATCTTCAGCATAATGGATTTGCATGGGATAAAGTAATTGACTTTGTTGTTAGAGGAATGTTATAAAAGCTTTAGAGTTTTAAAAAATTGTCATAACTTTTGGAACCTGTCAAGCTAGGGAAATTTCATAAAGTAACTAAGAAATTTAGGGGCTGAGTCTGTAATAAAATCATATATAGGCCAGGTGCAGTGGCTCATGCCTGTAATCCTAGCTCTCTGGGAGGCCGAGGTGGGCAGATCGCTCGAGGTCAGGAGTTCGAAACCAGCCTGAGCAAGAGCGAGACCCCGTCTCTACTATAAATAGAAAGAAATTAATTGGCCAACTAATACATATAGAAAAAATTAGCCGGGCATGGTGGCACGTGCCTGTAGTCTCAGCTACTTGGGAGGCTGAGGGAGGAGGATTGCTTGAGCCCAGGAGTTTGAGGTTGCTATGAGCTAGGCTGACGCCACGGCACTCACTCTAGCCTGGGCAACAAAGTGAGACTCTGTCTCAAAAAAAAAAAAGTCATATATAGACGACATCTCATCCTCTCATCTCTCTTTGGTAAACTCAGAGTTCCCATATACTCTATGGCTAGCAAAGGGTAAACCAGAGGTTAATTTTGTCAAGGATTATGTTCTGAAATCCCAGCTTTTCTCCCTGGTTTCTGTTACTTTCTGCTAGCATGTCCATTTTATTTCAGCAATCACAGTTGTTTTAGGTACTCAGCTTTCCTAGGGACTGAGGGGAGGATATGTATGTACAGCTAAGGTGTATTGGAAATGTAGCTACCGATTATCCTATTAACTTCCACCCTTAAGCAGTTAATAATCTACAAATTCCATCACTTCTTCAGAAAATTCACACATTCTTCCCCTGGCTTCTCTGGAGTTCTGGCTCTAGGGTCTTTCTTTTGGTTTCCCTCTCCTCCTCAAGAGCGTACACATCCTTATTTCCTTACAGTAGCTCCTTGAATATTTAGTAGATCCCATGAGTTTGACCCTTTAACTAAGAGCTAAAATTAAAAATGTTAATCTGGACAATCTCCTGTGTTGTGGTATTGCTAGAGCCAGGTCTGCAACTCAGAATCCTCCCTAGTGCAAACCTAGGAGGGCCATCCCTGGCCCTGTAGTTTGTGGTCCTTTAATACTCAAGCCACTTGGGAGACCAGCAGGCAAATGCTGATTTGCCCTTAAGGGGAAATGCGATCCAGATTATCCATGCCTGCACCACGAGGATTATGTGGATTAAAAGAAATCCATGGATAATCCAGAAGCTTTATTTTAAACTACAGTTTAACCACATTCCTGACCACAGTTTTTCCCTGCATTTCTAATAACTAATTTATAATATTTACTGATTTCACATCCATCTCCTTCTCCTACCATTTAGAAGTAGTGGCCTTTGGGAAGTAGAGAAAAGATGGAAGGAGTCTAAGGAGTTAGTTAATCAACCAGCAAATAATTTGATGTTGACTAGGTGATTTAACCACAGTGTTTGCTAGACCTTGAAGACTTGAATTCCATGAATTCCTTACCTGCTGAGCCACTGGAAGGAATTTGAGATAACTGTCAACAAGAGATCAAACTCCATTTTAATACATTTGCACTTTACTAGCTTAAATGATTGTACTTTTGTGATTTAATTTTTTAGTGTTTCAGGTTATCAGAATTATAAATTTAATCCAACTTGAAGTTTATTGTTTCTTTAATATTTTAACCTATTGTTAGTTGTGGTAATTAAATAACCTGAAGACCTGCCATTTGAAATATTGAGATATGCTCAATTTATTAATTAAAATTTTTTTAAAAAATTTATTTATTATTTATTTATTTTTTGAGCTAGAGTCTCGATTTGTTGCCTGGGAGATGCTCAGTTTTAGTAGCAAGTCCACTACTACCTCTGACAAGTTACTTGCACATAGTTAAATGGTGATTAATTTCTATGAAATACTTAAATTCAGATGCTGCCCTCATGGCAAAAAATAAATAAATAAATAAAATAAAAGAAAAAAAATTTCTATAAATTGTTGAAATATGATTATTTAAGATTGTTTATTCTTGGCCAGGCATGGTGGCTCACACCTGTAATCCTAGCACTCTGAGAGGCCAACTCGGGAGGATCCTTTGAGTTCAGGAGGTGGAGACCAGCCTGAGCAAGAGCCAGACCCTCCCTCCCCATCTCTACTAAAAATAGAAAAACTAACCTGGTGACCTGGGGGCACTTGTAGTCCCAGTTACCTGGGAGGCTGAGGCTGGAGGATCGCTTGAGCCCAGGAGTTGGAGGTTGCTGTGAACTTGACTAACACCAGGGCACTCTACTTAGGGCAACAGAGTGAGACCTTGTCTCAAAAAAAATAAAAAAATAAAATTATTTATTTAGTGTATATCTTGTATTTAGATACTATTAAAATCAGTATTTTCTTCTAGCTTTATGAACCATTACAAGTTGCTGCCATTATGTTATCTGAACAAAAATGTAATTTGGTAGTTAAAATGTGTCTATGTAGTTACATATTTTCAACAGTTGGGTCCTGTATTTATGTGCTATATAGATTTCATTCCCCTTAATTAAGATTCATTCTGTAGGTAATTTTAAGGGGGAGTTCCTGGGGAAAACCAGCTGGAATTCTCTTAACATACTTATTTTTTGCGCTGTGATTTGAGACTAAAGAAATATTTGCAGGAATAGATGATTGCTGTTTCAGACAAGTTTGAGATCAATAGGAATTATTTTTATTCTTTATTTCTTAAAATTTTTGTTCTTTTGATGGCTGCAGAAATTTCATATTTTCTTTGGAACTCATTAGTTGTCTTAACTCTTACTGTACAACCCCCCCTTCCATTATTAATATTTTTTCTAACTGAGGAGCTTCTGGTTTTAGGTCCTTATTCTGCCTATAGGGAGTGTATGATGTCTTCATAGTTTGTACACTGTGGCTCAGTACTCATGCTTGTCTACCTTTTTTTTTTGAGATAGAGTCTCTGTTGCCCCAGCTAGAGTGCTGTGGTGTCAGCCTAGCTCACAGCAACCTCAAACTCCTGGGCTCAAGTGATCCTCCTGCTTCAGCCTCCCGAGTAGCTGGGACTAAAGGCACGTGCCACCATGCCTGGCTAACTTTTTTCTCTATATATTTTTAGTTGTCCAGCTAATTTCTTTCTATTTTTTTAGTAGAGATGGGGTCTTGCTCTTGCTCAGACTGGTTTCAAACTCCTGACCTTGGCAATCCTCCTGCCTTGGCCTCCCAGAGTGCTAAGATTATAGGCGTGAGTCACTGTGCCCGGCCTAAGCAATAATTTTGAATTCATTTTTAAAGCAGTGGTTTCTGTAGATGAGGACTGTTGTTATAAAATTGTATATATTATTTATTCATTACTAAGCATGGAGATTTAAAGCCCCTGAAATATCTATTTGGAAAATGAACTATTTAATAAACTAGAGCAGTTTGCCACTTGACCATCTAGTTGTATGCTAAGGATGGGATCTGATTTCTGTAAAGGAAAATATTTTTTAAGGCATCCAGTCCTTTCTGAAGTCTTTGTATATTAATGACAGTGTCAGTAATATTTGCTTTATAATGTAATTTTTAAACATGGCACTTTGTGGTGGATTTACATAGTGAAATTGTTCTCAAGAGGAATCAGCTTTATTTATTTATTTACTTTTAGAGATGAGGTATGCTCTGTCTCCCAGGCAAAGCTCACTGAAGCCTCCAACTTCTGGGTTCAAGTGATCCTTCTACCTTAGTTTCCTGAGTGGTGGGGACTACCAGTACATGCCACCATGTCTGGCTGATTTTTTTTTTTTGAGACAGAGTCTCACTTTGTTGCCCAGGTTAGAGTGAGTGCCGTAGCGTCAACCTAGCTCACAGCAACCTCAAACTCCTGAGCTCAAGCAATCCTTCTGCCTCAGCTTCCCAAGTAGCTGGGACTACAGGCATGCGCCACCATGCCCGGCTAATTTTTTCTATATATGTTAGTTGGCCAATTAATTTCTTTCTATTTATAATAGAGATGGGGGTCTCGCTCTTACTCAGGCTGGTTTCGAACTCCTGACCTCAAGCAATCCACCCGCCTCGGCCTCCCAGAGTGCTAAGATTATAGGCGTGAGCCACCACGCCCGGCCTGACTTTTTAATTTTTTGTAGAGATGGGGTCTTGCTGTGTTGCCCAGGCTGGTCTCTGGCCTCAAGTGATCCTCCTGCCTTTGCCTCCTGAAGTGTTTGGATTATAGGTGTGAGCTACCTCGTTAGGCCGAAATCCAAATTATTTAAAATGACAGTAACTTTCACCCACCAGCTTGGCAAAGATAAAATATTTTAATACTTTTGGCCAGGATTGGGAAAAACATTTTCATACACTGCTACTAAAGGTATAAATTGATAAGCTCTAAGGAGA